ATTACTATTTAACAATAGCATAACAGATTTAAGTTCAAAACAGAACTACAGTAGACATACCTTTCATCCTGAACAGATCTGTAAGGAGCCAAGAATGGTTTTCGCTTCCTCTGGCTCTCTGTAAGACTTCTCACATTGAGACAGTCGAAGAACTTATCCACCATCTCACAGAGCCTGGCAGTGCCTTCAGCACCTTGGGGCCCAAATTCCTTAAGAACGGATGATACCGAGGCACTCAAGACCTGGGCAGCGAGATTTACTCGAATAACTGAGTACGCATTCAGATTGATGTGCTCAAATGTCAACCTTGGTAATAGTTTCAAGCCGTTATCTATATCCTGAAAAAACATCTCTGTGATGTGCTGCCACAAAATGTATTGGCCGTCATTCCACATGTACCGTGTACATGTACCAGATCCTGAGCTCTTCAAGCAGTTCCGCGTAGTTTTAACCAGGTGTGGTGCATCTGAGAAGAAGTATATGTAACGGTGAGGAGCATACAGATTGAGTGTACGATAGCACACATCACCTTCAGCACCACCATCAAGTTCCTTGTGTAGACGATAAAACCTCCTGTTTGGTGAAGCACCGTCTGATGTGGCTGCAATGACCCATAAGTTGCACAACATCTCTAGAACACCAACTGCTTCCCAGAACAATGGAATAAGTTGCGCAGAAGTGATCCCAGTTGTGGCAAAGTGTGCAAGTCCAAACTTGAGTTCTGTGCACAATCCTCTTACAAGAAATACAAGAGTGTGTGATGCTACTGTATCTGCTTTCTCTAATGTAGCAAAGTTGAGGTCAGGGTCACCGAGGTCTGTAAATCCAATCAGTTCCCCTGTCACTTTGTCTAGAACAAGATCTGCCATCACCTTCATTTCGTCGAACAGTAAAGCTACATAACGTTGGACATCAAAATAACTTGATGTCTCTGACTTTAAGACATCAATAACTTCTTTCTGGAAGCCTCTCTGTGGTTTGATGGCATTTCTGTAGTCCTTTAATCTTCTTTGACTAGGCAAAACTAAAACTCCGCTGTTGCGTAACTCCTCATAGCATGATGGGCTCTTAGCAGCTAGTGACAAGCAAAATCGTATTACCATGGGATGATAACGTACACCAGTACTTTTACGATTAAACATCTTCTTTTGTTCCTGCCAAAATAGCTTCATAAAAGGAGTTATTTTAGCATCGTTAGAATCAAGAATATTGACAAAGTCATTGCTGAGTTCATTGCCAATTTCCATGTTTGCTCTCTTAAGTTCTTCACGCATTGCATTTAGTTCTTGTTCAAGCTGTGCGCACTTCAGTCGATGTCCCTGTAAAGCCAGCTTGATTCTTTCTGGATCAGTTTTTGAGACTGGTGCATTGAGGTGTGCAGGCTTTAAAGGTTTGCRTTCCTGACTTTTCTTTGCACTGTTAACATTGTCAGCATACATGGTGCACACAGAACAACTCTTTTCTCCTCCTTCACAAATAAGGAGGCATCCCTTTACTCTCCAGAAACCTTTGTGTGGAAATTGCTCCTGTTCTTCATCATCACTTAACGAATCATGATGTATAGGGACAACATGATGAAAAAGTTTACCAGTCAGTTCCATTGCTTCCACACCATTGCACAATCTCAAGCTCTCCAATTCTTTGACTAAATTAGAAAAAGTCAAATTCTGCAAAGAACGACGGTACTTCAAGTATACGGGATGATCCTCTACCAAGAACGATCCATAAACTTTAACAGTGAACCCCAGACTTTCATCTACAATAATTTCGAGTTGTGGTAGCATGAGAGGCTCAACCATCTTTTTAAACACAGCTTTATCAACGGAGAGCCTGGAGACCCCAGTCAGTAAGGGTTTTCAGTCCCTGAACCCTGCTGCTAAATTCTTGAAACGTCTTGTAAAATGATGTACTAACTTCTGGAATAACGGGGAGATGATCAGATCGGACAGGTTGTCGAGTTCTACGTGGGGCTGGTTCACTTTGGTGACTTTTCCTTGGCATATTAAGTGTTGGAATAGCTCCAAATCGAAGCTTTTTCTTGGTCATTTTCTCAGAATGGACTGTAAAAAAAGTAAACTTAATAATTACTTTTTAAATACGACTAATTACGAAAATACTGAGCTGTTTTCGCTTACATATTATCTTGTTGTCAAGGTCACGCGTCGCGTCGCGTAYTCTCGACAGAAAACAGAAATACAGTAGTAAAATTTATCAAAATATACTTACATATTTCAATATCTTCGGGGTAGAAATGCTTTTCACACGTGYATACTTTGTCATCGTTGATTTGTCTTCTAAAATCTTTATCCGTTTCTCTGGTTTTCTTCAGTTCACCAAGCCACTCGTCTCGCCATCTCTTGTGTTCGTCATCCTTTGCTAGGGGTAATTTAAAAATGCCTATACCTTTCGTTCTTCGGCAAGAACCACAGCCGAAAACCGCACAGTTGACACCAGGCATGTCAAAAGAATATAGAAGTAGTTAATTTTCACTTGGAGAGTCGACGTATGTTTCTTAAAAAGAGTTAAAAAGACGCGCACCCGAGGTAAACTACGAACAAGCCGCCATCTTTCAAGAATGTGTGCACCTTCGCGATCACGTGACACGGCAAAAAAGTAAACAAAGAGTTCCTTCTTTGAAGTTCGCCGGCTTTCATGACCAGTCTCTCTCTATTAACTATGCCTTGTGTAAAGAATTTGAGGTAAATAAATGTTTATTACTATGTGAAATTTGAGCGTTATTTTGTGAATTTGCATGCAATGTTTTCAACTGTTGAGCATTTATTGACGAGAAGGGACTCTGCTGTTGTTCCTTCCCTGCCTGTAGTTTTCCGACTGAGCATTTTGTTGAGGGTTACGTTGAGAACGTGGGCCTTGTTCTGTGTGGGACCCTTGAGAAGAGGGGAAGCGTTGTTGTGGGTTAGAATGAAAATTTTTCTTAGTAGGACACTCCCGTTGATGATGTCCCATGCCAGANTACTAACTTCTGGAATAACGGGGAGATGATCAGATCGGACAGGTTGTCGAGTTCTACGTGGGGCTGGTTCACTTTGGTGACTTTTCCTTGGCATATTAAGTGTTGGAATAGCTCCAAATCGAAGCTTTTTCTTGGTCATTTTCTCAGAATGGACTGTAAAAAAAGTAAACTTAATAATTACTTTTTAAATACGACTAATTACGAAAATACTGAGCTGTTTTCGCTTACATATTATCTTGTTGTCAAGGTCACGCGTCGCGTCGCGTACTCTCGACAGAAAACAGAAATACAGTAGTAAAATTTATCAAAATATACTTACATATTTCAATATCTTCGGGGTAGAAATGCTTTTCACACGTGTATACTTTGTCATCGTTGATTTGTCTTCTAAAATCTTTATCCGTTTCTCTGGTTTTCTTCAGTTCACCAAGCCACTCGTCTCGCCATCTCTTGTGTTCGTCATCCTTTGCTAGGGGTAATTTAAAAATGCCTATACCTTTCGTTCTTCGGCAAGAACCACAGCCGAAAACCGCACAGTTGACACCAGGCATGTCAAAAGAATATAGAAGTAGTTAATTTTCACTTGGAGAGTCGACGTATGTTTCTTAAAAAGAGTTAAAAAGACGCGCACCCGAGGTAAACTACGAACAAGCCGCCATCTTTCAAGAATGTGTGCACCTTCGCGATCACGTGACACGGCAAAAAAGTAAACAAAGAGTTCCTTCTTTGAAGTTCGCCGGCTTTCATGACCAGTCTCTCTCTATTAACTATGCCTTGTGTAAAGAATTTGAGGTAAATAAATGTTTATTACTATGTGAAATTTGAGCGTTATTTTGTGAATTTGCATGCAATGTTTTCAACTGTTGAGCATTTATTGACGAGAAGGGACTCTGCTGTTGTTCCTTCCCTGCCTGTAGTTTTCCGACTGAGCATTTTGTTGAGGGTTACGTTGAGAACGTGGGCCTTGTTCTGTGTGGGACCCTTGAGAAGAGGGGAAGCGTTGTTGTGGGTTAGAATGAAAATTTTTCTTAGTAGGACACTCCCGTTGATGATGTCCCATGCCAGAGCAACGGTAACAAATTATTGTTCCGTCAGTAGCTCTAGTAGCACGTCCGAAATCCCCTGCTGGGCGAAATCTTAAATTATTTGGTCTACGGAAACCTGGTCTTTGAAAATTATCCGAGCGAGACGGACGTGGTCGTCCGTGACCAAAACGCGGAGGAAATTGAAAAGGTTTTTATATCCTGTTGTATCGCAGCAATAGATTCGGTTTGTTTCTCTAAATGTTGTTGAAGGGATTCTAAAACATCAGTTCGAAAATCCGACAAAACTTCGCTGGCAACTGCGTTAGTTGATGGGTGTGACTGTAAGACATTCGATTTTAAGGTGGCAAGAGAAACAGCTTCTTCAAACGTTTTAGGCTTGTTTAGAATAACATATTCGCGAATAGCAGGCAAAAGGCCTTGAGTGAAAAAATGAAGTTGTTCATGTATTGTTATTTTCAATCGCTGACAACGTTTTTGTATATCCGCGGCATAGTCACTTATACTTTCTGAGGGTAGTTGATGACGACTACTTAAATTGTGCCTTAGCATCCAGTCATTTTCTCTAGACAAAAAATGATCGGAAAATGCTTTGGATAATTCCTCGAACGTAGTGTATTTAGCAGTCATGTTTGTGAACCATGTTCGGGCATTTCCCTGTAATGCCAGAGGAAAAGCGCGTACCCGTTCCTGGTCTGTCCAATTAAGGAAATCAGCATAGAAACAAAAATCTTGTAAAAATTCAGAAGCATCACTATCTTTTCCAGAAAAAGTGGGTAATTTTCCGATTGCACCTGGTGTTTTGGCCGAATCCGATTTCTTTTCGGCGGACATAGCCGATGTTACTGCCGCAAGGTCAGTGTGCGATTGTTCGCGGTGTTGTAACAATTCGTGTGATAGTTTGTTAAATGATGTCGTGAGAGAGTCGATTAATTGAGCGTTCATAGCTTCTAGTTCTTGTTTTGTGGCAGTCATRTTTGTTTGTGGAAGGGACTGAGTAGATTTAGACTGACGTGTTTGTGGGCTTGTATGAACAGAATTTGTGCAAGGTGATGAAGGGGAAGTAGGTTTTCGGCGAAGGTTATACACTTTGAAAGTGGAAAATGAAAACCAACATGAAATTTATAGGATTTTGGATAAAATAGTGAATTTGAAAGAAAATTATATGTGACTCAATAACTCATAAGGATATAATGAACATGACATTCGTTTGAATTTTGGTGACCTATGCTAGATACGAAACTGAGGTCCAAAAAGCTGATATACACCATAAGGATCCAAAAAGACAAGCAAAAAGCCTACCTGAGGACCGTTGACGATTTAGGTTCTCCACCAGTGTAAAATGAGATCTTTTGGGTTGGGGTGACTTGAGCTACACGCCTGTAGCTGTACGAGAGATACTCCGTGTACAACGTCAGGTTAGGCACAAACTCTCTTTATTGCTGGTACTTGTATCAAGGTTCTTTACATCTATATCTTTGAGTTAACTGAGCGAGTGAGCCTGAAAGACTCTCAGTAACTATAACAGTGTCTCTGAGCCTCTGAGTGTGAGCGTGAGCGTCTCCCTAACTAGGATAACTGATCCTATTTATACTCTTTCATATATCTGAATATGTTAAGATGACATTTACATAACAAGGCGTTTGGACATAAGTCAAAATCCTAAGAAATATGTTCTTAAATGAAGGACTAACATTTGTTGTCGTACATAGATCGATACTTAAGAACTAGTCCTATTTTTGTGATATTTTACTGATACTGACGAGAAGTATTTATGTTATTTAAACCTATTTTCCTTGATAAAACTTTTACTTCATTAAAACTGCAAACATGATGGCTTGATCAATTATTTACGATATTTGTCCAGATCTATATCGTTCGTGCCAGGAAAATGGCAAGGGAAAACCAAACGTAGGAGGTGTGCCAAACAAGCGTATCCGAGATAAACAAAATGTATTGCCAATGTCATATAGTTATAATCGTACTAGCTCGATAGCTAGTCGATACAAAATATGATAATTTTGAATGTAATATTTAGCAATATTACAATATCCATGTTGATAAAAAAGGTATAAAGAACGATGAAACAAAACTCCGAAAAGTGAAACTGTTGCCATATATTCCATTAGCCAATATTCGGGCACTTGGAGAAAACCGCACAACGATAAGCCCATGAGGCCGAGTCCGCGAGGCCGAATGGGCTATTAGCTCGTAGTCCACGAGGCCGAGAGGTCTAATTGTTTTAGTATAAACATACTAATCGGTCAGATAATAAAAACAAATTGAAATATCCTTAAAATAATTTATAATTTATTTATTTTGATTTTCCCRCGAGTGGTCTATCACAAATTAGTATAAACACACTAATGGTCTATCACTCATACTGCGCTGTGATTGGCTACTCTACTAATGGTCTAATTTGTGATAGACCACTCGTGGGAAAATCAAAATGAATAA